GGGGGGGGGGGGGAGAAAGAGGGAGAGCAAGAGATTAATATAAAATAAAAATGAGTACTATTTATAAGGCTGAAAAGAAATGATTAGATTACAAAAATTACTAGCTGGCCTGCTATTATAAGTAAAAAATTAACCATGTTTTACATAAATTTTGATAAAATGAATATTTTAGATTTTAACTAATCAAAACTCTTAAATCTTGATGAACTAAGAATCAAATCTAATTATTACCTGTGGAAAATAAATTATTAGTTTCTTAAAATTATTAGGAGGCCTACTATTACAATGAAAATTTCACGGATGTTTTTCATAGACCTATATTTATTACCGATCTTTAGATTTTAGTTATTCAAAACTCATAAATACTCTTGGGTAACCAGACAAAACGACAAGTGGAAAAACGGACAAAGGACAAAACGACAAGGCGACAAAACGACAATGTGACAAAACGACAAGGTGACAAAACGACAATATTCTTGAACTAAGAAACAAATAAAGTTATTGATCTAGCCTTAATTATTCCGGATTTTCCCATAAATTGAACAAATTTAATTAAAGCTAATTGAAACTCATACTTTCTAGTACCTAAAGAGTTTTCTCTAGCTATTACTTGTCAAAAAAGGATGGATGATTGCATAAAAATCGAATATGTTAGAATTGAGCTAAGCCACATTCACTATATTCTCTGAACTAGGAGGCTAACTGACCTGACATTGGCCGTAAATATCGAGTGTATTATCGTTTTTTATAAACCAATCTTAGGACAAAATGTCACACAATTATAAAGGGGACGAAATTGAAAAAATGTGAAATGCAATGGTGTTCCAAACGTTGCTCTCTTAGTTCAAGTCGTACATTATGCCAGGGGTAGTCAACTTGAAATGCTTTTCGGGACACTGATAACGAAAATCGTTTGAGGCCATATGATATTATTATTACACATTATATTAATATTAAAAACAAAAACACACACTAAATGCTGTATAGAAATGAGTCTATTCTCAACGAACATAATTAAATGCTAGCTAAATAACAAAACAGAATATTAAACAAACTAATGTGATGGCATTTTATTTTTCGTTCACCTATCCTTTAAAAATCAATTTCTTTGTCAACCGAATGAATATTGAATACGTTTATTGTGATAAATCAGACCTCCAAGGACCACAATATTTGACGTGGCTGCCCGCAAGTGGCCCGCCGGTTGCCCCCTCCCCCTTGCATCCTGCGTGTAATAGTTAAGAAAAAGGATTACAGGGCCGGCGCTAGGAGGGTGCAGGGCCTTGGGAAAATTGAATTTTGCGGGACCGTTGACGTTATATATTCCACCGATAGGATATTAAGACATTAAAGATCCACAACTAGTGGTGTAGGAAGTGTTTCTTTCAAGCGTAATTTCTTCCAGAGCGTGGGGGGGGGGGGTCGTTCAGATATTCAGTGTGGGGGGGGGGGTTATTAGGGGAGAAAGAAGGGGGGGTTATTCGTCCGGGTGTCCTTTTTTTATCTTTTTATGAAAGGGGGCATTTTCGGATATCTGCAGAGATTTTTTTTTTTTTTTTTTT